CTACTTATAACTACCCACGAACCTCCAAGTAGGGGTCTATTTCAGAGTTCTAAGAAGCAATCAATCAGCCATTGCCTTCAACTTCTGTTGTCCGCAAGTCCTCGTTCGCATTCTCGGCTTGTCTCCGCTTTGATATCGAGTATAACGTAGGACTGGCAGCTCAGCAGCCTTCCATCGTATCTAGATGGGGAGAGAAGTCGAACAGACGAGGCTCCAAAATGAACGTACAAGATGCTCAACCAGACCCCGCCATACCATGCCCCGCCAAAGCCCGGCTGCAGAGTAGGAGGCTGGCGTGGCGCGAGTGCGCTACTCCGAGAAGACGGAGAGCATGATGTGCTCCAAGTAGCTTCCCAAATCTTTTCCCTGAGTCTGGATGTCCTTGTCGCCCTCAGGCAGGAACTCTGGGGCAGTAGTTCGCTCCGTTCTGGCTGTATCCTTCTAAGATTCCAGATGCAGGGCTCGAGGGCGAGACTGCGAAAGCTGTACTCGCAGATGTTCTCCTCCTCATGCAGCAGCTTCATGTCTTTGCTCATGCGGGACATCGGGAAGTAACAGAAATTATGTGCGCGATGGTGATGTGGAGGTTGGTTTCTCCGTCTGGGATGGCGTGCGAGACATTGCGACATCGTCGAAGTCTGCACCCGCAAACCCATATAGAAACATATAGAAACCATGTCAAACTCAAAAGCCCGGAACTGTCCCAGGCAGCTTTGCCGACTTCATCGCATCAAGCCCAAAGCCAAAACCCAAAGCTTATTTCCCTTAGCCCCACGGTCTAAACCCCAAGCCTAAACCCCTAGACCCAACCCCCACAAAGACAATAACAAAAAGGACGGTGGAGAAGACCTGGAGAGTGCAAGCTATGCCAATTTGGTGCCAATGACTGTGTCTGCCAATTCAAACGCATGTCAGTTCGAGAGTACGGCATTTTGCTGCAAGGAGTTATCGGGACCTTGAATGAATCAACACGTGGAGGGGACGCTTTTGCTTGCTGCCTTGTCCTTGACTGATATCTGCTTTGTCTGTATGAGTGGGCGAGACAAGAATTTACTGGGGCTGGGCTGGAATGTCATCTGCTTGTCAACATGGCTGGTGCGTGCTCTGGGGCCAGTGACACATTGCGAGTCCGTGATGAACTCGTGTTCCAACTGCTAAAGTAGTTGGCGATCGCTTTGTTTGAGAGGTGAGTGATCAAGCAAACTTACAACTCGAACGGTAATTAGCTGTGACAGTCGCAGCTTTGTTCAGCAGTCCAACCAAGACTCCCTGCAATGCGGGCTTCGTCCTTGCTAGGTAGGAGGGAAAAACCCCAAATCCTAAACTTCTGAAAATCCAACACACCTAAACCGTAAAACCCTAAGCATGTAAACCCAAAGCCTTAAACTCCGAAACTCTAAACCCCTAAATCCTAAGCCTTAGACTCTCGCCTCCTCTCCTGGCCCTAGCGGCCTTCCATTTAAGACGGAAGAGGGAGCCACCCCACCCTTCCCCCCAAGGAAAAAAAGGAGAGACTCCACCTAAACCCTAAACCCTAAACCCTAAACCCTAAACCCTAAACCCCTAAACCCTAAACCCTAAACCCTAAACCCCTAAACCCTAAACCCTAAACCCCTAAACCCTAAACCCAGGTACGCTTTCCGGCCTCCCGGCTCCCAGGAGTTCCTGGCGCCCACGCCTGCCTACCGGGCGATGACTTCACAGGAGGCCTTGGGTGTTTCGGGTCTTGGGTCACTTGGGTCTACTTGGAGGCTCAGGGGTAGTAAAAAATGGGGCTAGAAGGCCCCTAATATGGGTTATAAGTATAGTTACCCTACTTATAAGGGTCTAGGGGTTCAGGCTTTGGGCTCGGGTGTATTGGCTGTAGGATTTGCAAGGCTTTAGGGTTTTAGGGTATAGGACGTAGGTTTTGGCTCAGTCTCGAGAGCTGGGCCCTCTGGAGGAAGCGCACATATTGGGCCGAAAGCATGTGCACTAGTGTAGATGTTGCTTCCAGCACTGCAACTGAAGTCCAGTGGGCGAGATAGACATAAAGAGCTGAGACAGAGAGACCGGCAGAGGGAGTTTCAGTTTCGGGACCGAGTTTTTGTGATGTGAGCTCCAACTGAAAAGACAGAGCGTTGCAGCCATGGTGATGGATGCAGCGTTAGACACACCAGGGGCTGTCCCTGTGGATTCCGTGGATTCTTGTGGCCGTGGGCCTCTCTGGTTCGCGTGCCAGTCAGGTGCATTGGAGCTGGTATGCAGCTTGCTGGCTCAGCGAGCTTCGCCAGAGCAGTCGGACCTGCTTGGCTGGAGGCCTCTCCACCTTGCGAGCTTCTACGGCTTCCAGGAGGTGGTCGAGCTGCTTCTGGCCCGACGCTGTGAGGTAGATGCCCGGACCAATGCTGGGCAGACAGCCCGATGGCTTGCGCATTCGCATGCCATCTCGCACGCGAGTGCTCCCGCTTCTGCCGTCCACAAGCAGATTGCCGAAATCCTGGCAGCAGCTGCTGGGTCGCTGGGGCTCGAAGCTGAGGGCCAAGAGATGGCAAATCCAGAGGAAGTGAGGCTCTGTGCAGAGGATGGCAAGCGATACACATTGGAGGAGCTGATCTGCACCTATGCTCACGAGCAGCGGCTGTTTACCCGGGAGGAGTGCGTGGAATATTTCTACCGAGAAATGCGCTGCTGCGCCGACGACCACGCGGCGTGGCAGCTGCAAATTGTGCACAGCCCCTCATGCGGTTTTGAGAGTACCTGCGGCACTGAACTTGTCAAAAAAGGCTGCGCAGGGAAGAAACTATGCAGGGCCGTAGCACGACTGCTGGGCCACCTTGACATGGTGAGTTTTTTGGGGCAGCGTTGTATGTTTCTGAACCCGTAGATGTCAGATGACTTCGTGTCGGGTTCGGGTCGTTTAAATGACATGTGATAGCAACGTACGGCCCCGTGCCGGTGCTGGTCATGCGCTGCATTTTGGTGTTGGCAGTCTGAGGGGCCCGGTTTGAGTATCTTACCTTGCAGTCCTGGCGGTCCAAGCCCCGAGCCCCCCCGACGCAGACATTCTCACAAGAGCCGCGATCCCGGAGATGTAAGAGACCACGTCAGATCCGTGAGTCTGCGGTCTGACATCTGAGATCTTCAGAAAGCATATGAGAAGCATTGATAACGTCTTAGCTTAGCAGTACTCCCAATGCAAAGCCCAGTTCCCCAGTGCTGACCACCCCACTTGCCGACGATCTCGAAATTGTGCACGGAGGCCAACCGAGTCTCCGCCGACAGTGCGGTCGCACTGGCCAACAAGGCCTCGAGGACGCGGAGGGCACTTCCACTGAGTAGCGGAGTTCTGTAGAGCAAAAGCCCTAAGGCTCCATGTACCCATAGAGTAGGTACTCAGTTCTTAAAGGGCTCCCTATATGGGTACTATTTAAGGCCTAAGTACCTACTACATGGGTACATGGAGCCTTTGGGAAGGTCGGTGCCAAAGCCGTAGACAGGGGACTGCGGGATCAGATTCACCTGGCTTTGCGCAGCTCCGCTTCCTGCGAAGCGCAAGCCTTGAGAAATCTGTGGTGGAGCCAGGAAGCTCCCAAGTTTTGAGCCCCGAAATCACAAAGCCTAGAGCTTTCATCCTCTGTAGACAAAGCTGGGAGTGCCAAAGCCGCAAATGGAACTCCGGACTTCGAATCGTCTGCTGCTGTCTCCTACACCCAAAGCCTTGTCCTTGGCGTCTCGCTTCGAAGCCCCAGCTCTGGAGAGTCTTCGAAACCGGCAAGCCCACCTCTCAGACACTAATTTCAGGGTGTAGGGTGTTACCGAGAATTCGAATGAAACATCTTGAAGCCACAGACAAGTAGCACATCCCTCTTTTGAGCCCGACAACACGACCTAGTTTGTCTAGGTGACGACTATTTATCATTCTTATTGCTACTGCTGCGTGTCTATGGGTACAAAATTGTATAACTGTTTTTTTCTCGGAGCTGGGGTTCGAATGTTTCCGGCCTTCCCCTTCCAGACTTACTGCGTTCTTGAATGAGAGAGGGTTTTGTGCTTGCAAGGAGCCTTGGCTTTAATAATAGATCTTATTCACGATTTTCGGCGTGGGCGGTGGTGTTTCAGTTCTTGTGTTCAAGAAGCTGGTTCAAGAACCCTAAACCCTACATAATCCCTAAACCCTCTTGCAATGCACTGAGTGCATCGTCAGTTGCCGACCCGAACGCATGGAGCTCGTCTGGCTTGAAACCCTCTTACAAAGCCACGAGGATTCTGGAGAAAGGGCTCGCGAGCCCGAGCCTCAACGGATGGGAGCGGCAGAAAGCCAAGCAAACTTCAGTTTCGGCAGTTGCTCGAGGCCTGAGGACTTGCTGATAGGGCCAGTTTAGGACGAGTTCCTTTGTGAATTTCGAGACTTCTGTTGTCTCGTTAAAGTTCCATGAATACAGTTTTTGAGCAGCTTTTGCTCCCAAGCTGCACTGTGGACGCTCAATTGGCATGACTACCAACATGTTTCTCGCAGAGGCCCCTCCCACAGTTATCTTTATCAAAGCTGTGGCCAGTCTGTGACTCCTTGCAAGCTCGCACCTAGGCACCTGGTCCTTTGATCTTTTCTTTTTGACACTCATTCCGTCGTCGTTTTCGTCGACATCGTTGTCGTAGTTGTCGTTATAGTAGGGGTAGCCGTGGTCGTGGTAGTGGTGATGGAGGTGCTGCGGTAGTCGTAGTTATAGTCGTCGTCGTAGTAGTCGTACTGGTAGCTGTCGTAGTCCTCGGAATCAGAACAGTAGTAAAAGTAGTACTAGTACTAGTAGTAGGAGCTACTGCGGCTGCTGCCGCTGCTGCTTGCACGTGCTATTTTTGTCGTGGTCCGTTTCAACAAGGACTTTAGGGATCTCCGTAGACCTAGCGAGCATTCAGCGCTTTTCTTGTATGCGCTCTGGTCTTTCGTGCCTCAGCCGCCAAAAGACCCAGTAAAGACTGGGCACAGGTCTTGTTAGAATTTAGGAAGCTGATTTTCAGCCATGAACGAGTATGAGCTTCTTGGCCAGGTCTGGCATCATGAAATGGTCACCGGTCACGGGTGATAAAGGGAGACGCGAGTGGCTGCAGAAATGGGGACACTGTCTTTTTCGCCTTCTCGAGTCGTTGACGAGACCTTACTGACTGCCTTCATGTACCATACACAAGACTGTCGGGTTTTAGGGGCGGCGTCTCTCTCAGAAGTCCCGCAACTTTAAATGAACCCGGTTTCATGCGAATTCCCCAATAATAATCTCACAGCGTCAGTTCAACACCCCTCAACAGAAACCCTGCCCTTCTCGCTCTTGCACTGCAGTTCCAAGAGCATTGGCAGTGTTTAGGTCCAGTTTAGGTCCTTTTGGGTTGAGGCTTTAAGATGCTGCTTGAGAGGTTATCCTTAGGGTTTAAGGTTTAGGGTACGGAAGGTGGTAAAGGCCCGATGCAAAAGGGTACGGAAGGCTTTAAGCAACCAGGGAGTTGTTGAGATGGCTCTTCGCCCAAGTCCCATGGAGTGCAAGGTACATTTATATGAAGAAGCGGAAGGACTTTGGCCGATACTGCAATTTCGACACTGTCGAGGCCTGCTTCATTAGTTGGGTCTCGGGTTCAGGGATGTTCTGGGTAGGGTTCAGAGCTCCCGGTATCTTTTGTCTGGGACTCTGGCTTTAGAGGCCGAAAAGGCATTCCAATCATAGCATTGTCGGATGCATTGTTGGGCATATGCTCTGCATTCGGTTGACTATGCATACCCTTTCGACGTTGCTCGCCTTGATGCCGGCGATGTCTCCCCGATGTTGAGCTGGACCGCTGGAGGGGCGTGATGGTTTTTGGTATTCCTTTGAGAGCTTACAGTTTCACCGGCTCCTGAGTGTACGTAGGGCTTAGACTGCACGCAGACCTCGGTTGGATCGCGAAAGATCTTGAGCGCCGACCTTCCCTGGTGAGGCAAAGATCCTGGGACAGGTGGACCAGCAGCCGCAATGTGGCGACATGTACGTAGAGCAGACCATCATCAACGCGGCCTTTTGATGAGAATCGGGGAGTTGTGCTTCAGGGTTTGGGCCAGCGGAGTTGCAGGAGAGAACATCCCAGGCCTTGGCCCCGGCAGTGGCTTTTTCTTCCTCATGACCCGAGGTCTTTCACAACATTCCGGAATTCTCGGAGCACTCTGTGAACACGGCCCGCGTCAAGACCTTTGCAAGGGTGATGACGTCGATTGGCAGCAGAGGGAGTTTGCTTGCGTCTTGAGACAACGACAGTCGGATTTCCACATCAACCTTGCCGTTCCATACTATCTCAGGACAACAACTAGGAAGGTTAGACACCTCTCTTCCCTGGATGGCGAAATTCAGTGTTTACAGGTTGAGGGCTTGGATGCAACCTACTACTACTACCTACAGCTACAGCTACACCTACGATTACTACAACTACGACCACCACCACCACCACCACCACCACCACCACGACTACTACTACTACTACTACTACTACTACTACTACTACTACTACTACTAGTACTACTACTACTACTAACTACTACTACTACTACTACTACTACTACTACTACTACTACTACTACTACTACTACTACTACTACTACTACTACTACTATTCCTCCTACTCCTACTACTCCTACTACTACTACTACTACTACTACTACTACTACTACTACTACTACTACTACGACTACTGCTACTAGCTGCTACGACTACTTGTGCTACGACCACGCTGACAGCAACCACGAATGTTCCATGCCCGTGACGGATGGCATCATGGCAGGCACCTACGCAATTTTGCGGCAATGACCGGTGGCATGAACTCATGAAGCAGTCGTAGTACTGATGTCGTTCTGCCACAGCGGGGGTTGGGAGGGATCCTCGACCCAACGAGCAACAGGCACGTGGAAGGTGGCTGGCCAAAGGAGATTGACTATAGCGAGGCACAGGATACGTTGAAGTACCGCAAGCGGCTGGAGAAGGACCTGAGTGACAACGGATCAAGGCATGTGTTAAAGTTGTATCAGCCGGAGACTACGGAAATGTCGTTTCGAGATGGCATTTGACGGCTTGTCACACAAGAGTGTTGCACGTAAAGTTGTTTTTTTCACCTTCAATGAGTGTTTTTTCACTTCCTGAACATGCAGTCAGTGCAGAAGTTGGAAGCACATGAACATGCTGCTAGAAGCCCCCCAGACCCTCCAAGCCGCATCTTGAAGTCGAGACACGAAGCCTTAACCCTACACCAACCCCCCTAAACCCTAAACCCTAATCCCAAATGTCCGAGAGTGAGTGCTGAATCCCTAAAGCCGCCGTACACTAACCCCTGAGCTCCAAACGGCCGACAGAAGGAGCAGATTGCTGTCAGGACCCGGCCTACATCAGCGCCGTGAGGCAGCTCACGAAGCAAACTGTGCCATGCCTAGAGATGCGACTTGGATGAAGTTATATGTAGATATGTATGTGTGTGTATCATATATATATATATATATATATGTACATATTACAATTAGTATACATACACATGATGAACATACATTCATATGGTGTGCCAGTTTTTCATGGCTTCCGGAATTTGGGGCAACATGTGTATGCACCCAGTCGAGTTGTATTGTACCTACCCGTGCATGACGGTTGAGTCGGCTTGACACAGTTTATGGTTTGGCGCTTAAGCTCTCATGGCCATGCATCCGGTAATCAGAAAGCATTAGCCATAGAGCCCAAAGCTGTGGTTGGGCGTCCTTAGGCAAAACAGCGTCTTTCGCAGCTGAGGTTCAGTAAAGTTCTTTTGTTGGGTCCGTGGGGTATTTGGTTTAGAAGCCCACCACCAAAACCATGAAATAATTTCTGTGAAGAACTCAGGAACAACACCATCGACTTGTTTCAGATCTATTTTCAGGATGAGGAGCCGGACCACATGCCGGAGACAAAGGGCTGCAACTGAGAGGTTGCCAAAATATCGGGTTTCATGAGTGCCTGCTTTTTCCAGCCGTCAGTGCTGGCGGCGATCGTTGCATTGGCAAGTTATAGCTGCAGCGGTTGTTATTCCTGATTTCGGTTGCGGGCCCCATCTGTGCTGTCAGAGGCTTACCACATATCTGCAATCGTCAGCATCATCGCCTTTGCGGCTCCCGCAAGCATATTCGCAAGTGTCATCGTCATCATCAGTTTAGTCATTGGCCACCAGGTCTTGTCGTCATGTCACCATTATTTTGGAGCTTGCCTTTGATGAGCATGCTAGGATAAGGTTCAGAATGCCTCCTGCTTCGAGAAGACAGCTTGAGATGAAGCGACACGCCTCCCCTTCACCATTCAACCATGCAAGACATCACACTATGTCCGCTTCGTTCAGCCCCTTCCTGGCGAAATATATGTCATTCGGCCTGTTCTCTTGGCACAGTTGTTGATGCACTGCAACCGCAAGCTCTTGGTTGCAACCTCTTCTCGACCCAACTTCGGTCGGAAGATCGCTCGTGTCTGGAGCTCAATTCTAAGCCTTGCCGACGCCTCTTCTGTTATAGTTATAGAGCTTCACATCCCTTCTCGACTTGGTGGCTGCTGGGCGGAGTAGCTCTGCAGAAAACGGAAGTGACTTCACATTGGGATGCTTCGTCCTCGATGCTTTTGCCCGGATTCTTTTGAACCCATAATGTTTCGGTATGCATCGGTCAGTCAGTAGGGATAGGGCGTGAAGCGACCTTTATCTGTGAGGACAGGATGCACGACGTTAATGTTAACCTTCATGTGTGACGTGTATGTCATGGTACTTACAGGAGACAAAGTATGACACTCCAACACCTCACTGGTCGGAACCCAAGGATTCTCAACCTGAAGACGATCGCGCTCTTCAAGGCACTTTCTGCACGATCTCGGGACTTGCGGTGTGCAGCCAGACTCGGGGCCGAAACATGCTCCGGAAGGCTTCGAGAGCTCCTAGCCCTGTGTCGGAGGTTCTCGAGGGCTCCAGTTTTCTCCAAAAGGCTCCAAGACTCACATTAATGACCTCCGTGTGGCAAACTTAGCGGCGACCCCATGCACGGATTCGAGCAGGACCCCTCGGATGAAGCACGGAGTGTCACAAAGATTGGTTGGCACCCCGAAGGCCCTACCAAGTGTCTTGGCGATCACTCGCAGTCAGGTTTTCTACGGGGACAAGAATTAAGACAGGCACGGCTGGCTAAATGCTCCGGTCCTCGGCCTTTTCTGTGTCAGGGATTTTTGCTCGGAGTCCATGCTGCACTACTTGCAGGCTGTCTCAGGAAGGGTGCGCGAGTGCTGAACACTTTTGAGGCTCCTGCTTGCGACTCAGGTTGGTGGGCTCGTACTCGAATCTTCGATTCCAGCGCACCTTGAATGATTAGGAGGCGCTCGGACAGGTCTGCTGATGTTTGCATACGTCACAGACACGGGAACAGCATCATAGAGAGGCAGAGAGATAGTCGACTGGACATGACAGCTTGGTGTGACACGGACCTCTTGTCTTCAACGGTCTTTTTTCGAGGTATGTCTGAGGATATGCCCATGGCATCGTACATCTGGGATATCTCAGAACGCAATGATCCGCTGATGGAGCTGCGGGCAATGTCCCCGCTTATTTGCTGCCAGTACAATCAGAAGAATGCGGACTGGCTGCTTGCATTCTCGATAGACCTCACAAAGTTTGGTAAAACGGGTTTAGGGCATATAGGCTTTTAGGGTTTAGGGACACAGTTATCCTGGGGGTAACACCCTGCAAAAGGTTTGAGCATAGCAAAAGCTTGCCTACTGACGAGGCTCCTGGGTGGTAGCTACAATGGGCTCATCAATCACTACGATCTGCGCAAGGGCCCCTCACCGTGCATGAAGTCCTCAGTGGAGGTGGGCCACTACGATCCAGTCGCCCGGCAAGGAAGTTTTCTTTGTGGCCCTAAGCCCTGAAGCCTTAACTCTGGTAGCAGCCGTCTCTTCGGCGGAGTTAGAGTCTGAGCTTCTAGACTTGTGCTAGCTTGGGCTCGTTATGAAAGCTTTCTGATGTGAACTTAATCTATGTCCGCCGTAGTTCAGAACAGACCAGTTGCCGTGTCTGTGGCTGCTGCGCGTGAAGTCGCGTTGCTGAAGGTCGCGGCTTCTAGGTTCTAGCAGTTCATTTGTACGCCTCTTGTTTAGCCGTTCTTCCTCTTCATAGTCTAGTAAGCTCATTCTCCGCCAAGGTGTTGCATACCCCAACAGCAAATTCTCAGTATGCTGTAGGACTGTAGGACTCTGTACAACGGCCACACCCCGCAGATTCAGTGATCCTTCCTCACATTCCAACGTCAACTCTGGTGACCCAATTTGGAGCAACCATTCCAGAAACCATAGCTAACTTAGCAAGCGGCAAACGAACACGCCGTACCTACTGCTGCAGACCTTGCCAGGCTTGTCCGAGTGTGAGTGTCAAAAAACGCTAGCTTCCCAGTTTGGAACCGCCACAACCCCAAAATCCTCGCAGCCCTCAGGTTTATGACGTAGTTTGGCTCCAGAGCAAGACCGGCACGGAGTGTGCCTCCGTTTCCTCAGACGGCCGCCTGCTTTTCTGGGACGTGCGAAAGTTGAGCGAGGCCTTCGAGGGTCTTTCTCTATAATATTATATTATAGTATAGTTTAGTATATTATATTATAGTATAGTTTAGTATATTATATTATAGTATAGTATAGAGTATTGTAGTATATTCTGTTATAATACAGTATAGGATGCCCAGTGGTACTCTTATTCCCTTCTTGTAGTCCTAGGTTCCTTATAAGGTTACCCAATACCAAAAAGGGAGCCCTTTTTTTTGCTAGGTTACTGGGCATCCTAGATATAAGTTATAGAATATGTAACGTAATGCCTACATGTAAAGATATCACCATACTATACCACAGTTTCTAAAAGACACTCTGCCATAATATAGTTCAAGCTAAGAATTACTGTCACCTCCCTTGCTACCGGGGTGTGCGAGTAGCTTCGCTCGCATGTGGATTTGGGGTGGCAGTCCTGTCAAGCAGCAAGTGACGATCCCCTTTGCATACTGAGACCTGGCCACGAGACGAGTTTCGAACCTCAAAGCTGTTGATAAAGCCTGGGTACCTACATTAGAGGTCATGCTAAGGGCAATAGATGATTACAGCTTAAATATTGCCTGACTGTTGCAGAGTGGGGGAGTACGATAAAGTACTTAACGCGTAACCTGGGAGGTTTGACACTACTTCCAGAGATGCTAGTGCCTCTGCCGTGTCGTGAAGCCGCGCGCGCACCATAAAAGCCTGGAGCTAACTCTGTAACCTCCAACGGCCTCAAACTTAGCTACAGAACATAAAGCCTCAGCGCATCTCAGCGTTCCTGCAGTCAGGACCCTGAAGCTACACCGTAAAACCGTTTTAAAGCCGACAACAGCCCTGGCAGGTACAGGACGAGTGCGTGCTCAACGATGGGAACAAGGAGCACCCAAAGACATTAGGCCGGTCCGGGGTCTTTAGCAGGCTTTCGATTCTAAGATGCCCAGGGTTGAGGCATCTCAGTGATTTTGGGTTTTGACGTTGAGGATTTCGGGGCTGAAACAGTTTTGATTTGGGGGTTTAGGACGTCTGAGAAGTTTTTGTGTGTTCTTTTTCCTTGGTGTGCGGACTTTTTCAGCTTATGTATGGGCTTATGGTTGGTTGCTGTTGGGTGCTCAGGAATATTGCAGGCATAGCACCTTTTGAGAACTCGTGAGTGTTGGTCGCTCGGGGGTGCCAGCTAATCTAAAGAGTCACGCTTGGAGTGTCGGTATTTACAGTTGGGCATGGTTATGCATTGGATCTTGGATGGTGCCAGCATTGCTATGCATAGTGAAGTGTGATTTGTTGACCACCACTGTGTATTACTTACGGAAATTTCGGCAGATGAAGCGTCAAGGCTGTCAGAATTAGCACTTCGAAGCCAATTCGGACCTCCTATTGTTCCCGTTGCTGCTGCTGCTGCTGGTGCCGTTCCTTCTCCTACGCGATACTGCGTCATCCACAACGACGACGACGCCACCCACGAACTCACTGCTCACTACGCACTACCCGCTGCTCAGTACTGAATACCCAGTACCCACGACAAGCAACCCACGACCCACAAGCCACTACCCACCCACTTCTCACTACTCTCCCTCCTCCTGCTCCTGCTCCTGCTCCTGCTGCTCCTCCTTCTTCTACTTCTACTACAAGTGCTCCTGCTCCTTGACAATTGAACCCTTCAAGGCGGCGTCTCCCTGGAATGGATGCAGGCATGGTGTCGGGATTTTCGGACTTCGAAAGGAATTGTGTTGCCTGACGTGGGATTATGTCTAACGGTGGGGCCGTGAGTTCTCCCAGTCTGCAGCAGTTTCTGATGTGTTGCTTGCTGTCGTAATCGCGCTGACTTTCAGCTCTCGGTCAACCTCGCAAGTTTGCGCTGTCGTCGAAGATGTGACCCTTGAGCCCGATACATATCCTAAACTCTAATCTGCGAATGATAAACCACAACCAGCTGAACCCCAGCCCTCACAACACAACGATGGTGTAGTCCGCACTGCCTGACAGACAGAACTTCTACAAGAACCCTACCGCAACGTCGTACACCCAAAGCCGTAAAGTCTAACGACCCTAAGCCCGAAGCCCCGACATCACCGGAAGCCGCATATGATAAGTTTAAAGTCTAAAGTGGTCTAAACGTGGAAGGAAGCCGGGCCGACGAAATTCTTGGTTGGCTCCGAGCACGGTATCATTTTGTCCTGCACGAAACGACCGAAGAAACAGGCTTCGGCGGAGAGTTTCGCGTTTGTTGCAGGTATTGCCCTAGCGATTCAGAAGTCTCGCTTTGAGGGTGTATGCGCTGAGAGGGGATGTAGATGAGCTGAAGGGCTTGTAGGATCGGAGCTATGGACAGTCCGAGAACTGCTTTGGTACACTATGCTATAATTCTCGGATTTTTAGGGGATGAGGGCCCAAGGTGTGAGGGTAGAAGCGTCATGCCGGTATTTGAAACGTTTGCACTTAATTTTCCTGGAGGTTGCTTGGTCACTGTCAGCCAACGATGACGAGCAACAAATAAGAGCCCTAGGATCTGAAATATGATCACGAGCTAGAATGGTACAAAGCCCGAGCCGCTCAAAGCTAATGGTGGGCTGAAACTCTGTTCGTCCCCAAGACAAAACCTATCTGCACCTTCCGGCAATGACTGGGGGTTTGTGGCATTTAAAATTTAGCCAACCCTAACTGCAGACATAGAAGCATCGGTTTCGGGGCAATCTGAAGGCTTCAAGATGCATGCAACGAGAAGAATTTGATAATCGTGAGTATATAGGTTAGATGAGGTTCATGGTGTTCGGCATGTTGAGGTTTGGAACTTCGGATGGCGAAACCAGTGATTAGATGTTTGAGGTTTATGCGAAATTTCGGGGTGTCCACGAAGCTTACTTGAAGCTCTCCTACGCCAGGTCCGGCACCATTCCGGTTCCTGCGTTGCCTCTAACTGATAATCCAACAGGGCCGATCTGCTGAAACCGAAACCTCTTCACCTGAAGCCGGAGACCCCCCAGTATGAGAGCATAACGTTAAACATTCCGAAGCCGAGGGCTTCACGATGTCAAGGTTCGTGTTCCGGAACAGAGATATATATAGACTTCTCCCCGAACCCGCTACTCTGAACCCCTTTCCCTAAACTCTACACCGCCTATACCGTCTTGCCCAACACCCTAAAGACCCTGCAGGTGGAAATCGGAACCTGGTTCGGGTCAGAGGACCGCGGCGGCTACGGCAAGCATTTCGGCCCAGTGTATGCTGCAGCTCGGCCTGAGGATCCCCTGAATCCTAAACCTTAAACGCTAAACCCTAAGCCCTAAACCCTAAACCTGAATCCCTAAACCCTAAACCCTAAGCCCTAAGCCCTTAACCCTAAACCGTGGCACTCCACTGGGCTCCTTTTATTCCTTAACCTAATAGTCGAGCAGGTAACCTTGAATCTTTTTGGGTAGTATCGTCCCTATGCAATCCCAATATACCCAAAAAGGCTAACCTGCAGTTCCCCATGATACCCGACACTAGGTTAAGGGTCCATGTACCCAACTAGTGTGTACTTTGGCCTCAAAGCAATCCCTGCAATTATGCGGTAGTAGACTCCCCCAAGCCCTACTCTTCCCCATATTGTCATGCCTTTCTCAAGAGTTTGGCCGTCGGGTGGCTGAGAGGAATGCTCGGAGGGCTCTGGGATGTAATGCGGAGTCTTGAATGTGGGAGTTTCCGAAAATTAGGGATGTAAGAAGAAGGTCCTCCCGGCTCTTGGAATGGGGTGGTTGGCAGAATGGGAGGTCGGGGCTATTTGTGAGGGGTCAGTCTTGCTGATGGAGCAGAGGCGTTTGGGGTTTCACAATCCAAACCCATGCTGAAAAAGGGTTCAGGGGCTGGCATACTGACCCCCCAGAACAAACTAGGTACGCAAGCATACCCTACTCTTGCAACGCTATGAAATCGCGTGGAGGGGCTTTAGGCTTGCAGTCTTCCCAGAATAAGATTGGCCAGCCCGCGCCGAATAGTGAATTGATTCATCCAACTTATTGATCCCAAAATCAACATTAGTTGTTCTTGTTCGCTGCTTTTCCAGTGAATTTGGTTCTACTTCATTTGAGGCCTTTGTTGAGGACATGGGTTTGGGTTTCAATGTCTCCAGACCTTCATTGGTTCATGGTTTCTACTTTCAGGTTGTGTGATGCTTCCTTTGCAGCTGAGCTTATAGGGTTCCGTTTTTCGAGTTTGGAAGCATTGACGAGGTTCCTGTTGAGATGTTGGCTTCGTCGTTCACCAGCCGGCTGGGTTTCAATAGCTTGAGATGTCTATCAGAAAATCCCTAAGCCCTAAACTAGGGTGTTGTAAGATTTAACCCAAACTGGATTGGGGCTTGGTACTATGGACTCCCGAAGTGGGATCCGTCCGGCCACGATCCCATGGAGTTCCTTAGGGGTTTCAGGGCTTCGCATGCACAAGGTCTTGTCTTTTCAGAAGGTCTGTATGATCTCCGTCTCAACGGATTCTGTCCCACCTTGGAGGGCACCTCAGCCGAGGTGTTTTCCAATTCACGTACCGAGTTGTTTGTCGACAGGGGGGTCAAGACACTGGTGTTGGTTTACTGCAGTTTACGGTGCAGCTGATATCTGTTCTTGAAGTCGCTTCCAAGTTCTACCAGGATGTAGTTTTAGGGTCTGGGAGTCAGGTGAAGCGCAATCCCTTCCATGTGAAGTTCTTCCTCAGCGTGGGCGACTGGTGCGGCAAGATGTGGATGGAAGAGCTCAAAGGCTTGCCTGGGTTCTTGTTAATTGACAAGTAACCCTATAATTTACCATAAATCCCTACTATGGTAACTTAAATTTAAGTTCCTGAACAAAAACCCAGTTGCTTCTACGGTGCTCGTCATAGTACTCCAGAAAAGCCCTCGTTGTTCTGCTAAGCTCCCTTGTAGCCTAATGTAGGAACCTGATTAAGAAGCCTTGGGCCTTATTAGGGTTCCTTATATGAATCCTACAACTTTTGGAGGTTATAGGCCCTGGGTTTCCTACAATATATAGTACCCTTATATAGATCCCTTATAGTAGCCCTTTAGACCCCTTTAAAGGAACCCATTACCCCCTTGAACCATTTCTCCCCTTACAAATCCTAGAGCGCTTCAAGCGAAAGCCCACGCCGACTCAGAAGCCCAGAGGATCCTCGGCCGAAAACTAAGGGTTTAGGGGTTTAGGGGTTAAGGTTAAGGGTTTAGGGTTTGAGGTTTAGGGTTTGAGGTTTAGGGTTTGGGGGTTTAGGGGGTTAGGAGCGGTTTAGGGGTTTAGGGTTTAGGGGTTGAGGGGTTTAGGGTTTAGGGGTTTATGAAGCCGTCGTCGGACGATCCAGGCGAGACTGACGCAGGGATCCTTGCTCCAGATACAACACAGGGACGAACTAATTATGAATTACAAGCCAGTCTACGTCGAGCGTAATACCGGGCCCACGTGACTTTGGGACAAGCAAACATTAACGGGCACTCCACAGGCTCCCGGGGAGGCTCAAAGGAGATGGCCACCGCCCGGCTGTTCCGTCTGTGTACCCAAAAGATTTCAGAGAGTTTACGCACGTCCGCGCGGACTGCACCTGGTGCGATAGCTATCGATGGGACCTCCTCATTGATGCCCCATTGTGACAGCGTTTTGGCACGCGGCATGGGTTTAGGGTTTCGTAGTCCAGCTGTAAAGGGGATTCGGGTTTAGGGTTTAGGGTTGAAGGTTTGGGGGTTTACGGGTTTAGGGTTTAAGGTTTAAGGTTTAGTCGTTTAGGGGGTTCGGGTTTAGGGGTTTAGGAGTTTAGGGGTTTAGGTGTTTAGGGTTTAGGCTTTAAGGCTTAGGGTTTAGGGTTTAGGGCTTAGGGGTTTAGGGTTTAGGGTTTAGGGGTTTAGGGGTTTAGGGTTTAGGGGTTTAGGGGTTTAGGGTTTAGGGGCTTAGGGTTTAAGGTTTAGGGGCAAGACTTCAAGAGGCCTGGATGCAAAAAGGGTTTAGGGTTTAGGGGTTTAGGGTTTAAGGTTCAGGGTTCGGGTTATATATCGGGTTACCTATAGGCCCCATAGTAGTTCTTTTTTGGCGTTCATGTTTAGAATTCTATAAGGTGATCCCAATCGATTTCAAAGGGCCTTGGGAGGGTGGAAAATTGGTAAGGGAGTACTTGGAGGTTCATGGGTAGTTATAAGTAGGGTTATAAGTCGGGTAACTATACGTAGAACCCATATTAGGGACTTATAACCCCACTTATAACTACCCATGAACCTCCAAGTACACTAAGGATGCATTAAAGATGACAGGAAATCCTTAGCCAGGGTGGCTTGTTACAGAATCCGTGTAACCGGAGTCTTTTTTCTGGGATCCTTAATCCTTGCTTCCCACCGTGACAGGCCCAATGCTCCAGACGCCATACTACCCGGCCTTCATTAGTGCAGCGGGTTGGAGCCCAACTCGGGCTGGCGCAGCTTCACTGCAAAGGGGGTACTCTGGCATGCTCGGGTCCGATCCATGACACCAGTGCAGTGTTTATCGTGTGGAAGCCCCAATGCATAGCAGTGCGATTATTCGAAGAGTTGCATGCGTTGGACGATCAAACTTGGTCAACCCTACACTCCAAATCCGGCTCTGTGCAAGACGAAACAAGCAGAGCGTCCAACTACACAGTCTTCTCCCTCTCTCTGTCTCTCCGCTCTCCCGCTCTCCCGCTCTCCCGCTCTCCCGCTCTCCCGCTCTCCCGCTCTCTCGCTCTCGCTCTATATCTCTTCAGGTTTTCTTCCTTGCACGTCAAGACGGTCGCCTAGACGTGTGGGACTACTTCTACCGAATGAATGAGGCGGCCAAGGGAATGTGGCTTGGGTCTGAGCGCTTTAGTTAGACCTCTAGTTGGGGTTCCGCGACTTCTTGGTCGACTTCCAGACATACGACAGAGACGAAAAGCTCACACGCAGCCTGTGTTTGGATCACAACAGTAAGAGTTTTTCGGTTTTGGCTTCAGGGCCAGGTAAGCTTCAAGCCCAGTAGCAATAATAGGGTTTAGTTGAGCTCAGTGCGGCATGCCACATTCTGAATCTTTCCAGCAGCTTTATCTTAACGCAATATATGCCATCTCGGGCACGTGGCTTCGTTTAGCCAGACACGCTAAATGACTTGAGCACTTGAGCCCTCAGCCATAAATAGAAGCCGCACAAGCCTTGGATTAGCCCTGAAGCCACAAAGCTCGCCACCCAAGACCCGACGCCTAAATCTAAACCACAGATGGCGGACTAGAATCTAGAAGGATGACAAGACAGCAACACCAATCCGTGAGCACCTGATGCAGGTGGCCCTCACACAGCAAGTCTCCGATCGCGCACTTACGTCTCTCAACATCCAATCACAGGCTAGGCCCTTGGTGTGTAGGAGGAGTTTCTGGTTTTGAGCAGTGGCATAGCGAGGGTTTCTTGTCGTAACGACGCATGCTGGAACAGTGTGTTGTAGGGATCCTAATTCAGAGGTTCATCCATGAAACAAAGCGAGGCACAGATTTGGATCCTTTCGTTCGCGGCCCCTTTCATGGAACCCTTCTTCCAAAGAAGAAAACCCTAAACCCTAATTACATCTTAACTGATGCTGTTGCCTCCTTTATCCAGTCACTTTTGATGACGAGTCCCTTTAGCCTCATGGGCCCGACTCTGCTGTTAGAGTTTGGGGTTTAAGGTTTAGGTTTTAGGGTTTGGGGGGAAGGGGTCAAAAACCCTGAACCCTGAACTGTTTAGGGTTTAAGCTTTACGGTTTGGGGTGAGGGGATGTTAGGGGCTTCAGGGCCAGAAGTGATGCGCGACCTTGACTATTTCGGCCTTCCTAGGAACCGGCTCCTTTGACATAGGGGGCCTTGACAATTAGAATAGGGTCTTGGGGATATACTACAGGATAAAGAAGACAAGGAGCCCCAAGGAATAGTGCTAATTACATTGTTACATAGTATGTGTTAGTAAATATGCAGGCTTCTACATCACACACATCGCTCGTCACCTTTTCTGACGTTTTAAGGCCCATGTACGAGGGTTTAGGTTGTCAAGAGCATCTGTGCTCAGGGGCGATTGGCAGCCGTCGGAGATGCGGGAGGCAGTGGTGCAATAAAGATTATAAAGGTTTTGGGTGTTGAGGCTTTAAGAGTTAGGGGTAAAGGGCTTGAGGTTTAGGGTTTAGGGCGTGCGGGTTTAGGAATCTTGGGTTTCGGGTTAAGAGTTTGCCTGCGTGTTGTCTTCAACGGCGTATGTGCTTCTTTACGGACTTGAACGTGCATCAACATCGTTCAGCAGTATTGTGCCCTGTGAGTACGCTGATGTGCATCAACAGCCTTTCCCTGCAAAGATGGTGCAGGGACAGCAGCTCTCGAGCAAAAACAAGCTTCAGCTTGAGCCTTCGTCCGTTGTCTTTTGCAGCCTTTCCTGCAAACCCTGGCCATGAGAAGGGATGAGAGTTGCATGGTAGCTGGCCGAAACCTCATGCCGTTCTGAAGAAGCGTTGTTAGATCAGGCTCCCACACTTAGGGTTCAGGGGTTTAGAGTTTAGGGTTTAGGGTTTAGGGGCTGCGAGTTTCGTGGGCGCTGGCCGGCACCTCAGTCCGTGCTGAAAAAGGGTTTAGGGTTTTGACGCACCGCTTTGGAAGCGAGAGGCACGGTGTGAATCATGCGGCGGGGCCGATGGATTTTGGTTGCTTAGGGCCTCGAGACCTCCCAGCATGAAGCCTTTGTGCAGGGTTGGGTCGTTTTCCCATGGGAGACTGCGCTTCTTCAGGGGATGTTCAGAGAAACAGAGGGGGGTGCAGGGCATCTCTTTTTGCCAGGAGGAAACCCATTGCGCAGGGGCCCTAAGTAAAGTAGGGACAACACCTGAGACACCTAAGGCCAACAACCCTGAGCAGCATCATCACTACCACCCCATGGCACGCAACTGGAAACCTCCACATCCTCATGTCCCGCAACCCTGACATAAATAAAAGAAAAGCGCACAGCATCCGACAAGGAAATTCCCAGTGCACCCCCGCAGCCACCGAAACAGGCTTTGATTGTCCAAACACGGAATGACGCCAGCCACCACTTGGAGGTTCATGGGTAGTTACAAGTGGGGTTAGAAGTACTCTAATAATATGGGTTATAAGTATAGTTACCTTACTTCTAACCCGATACTTATTATAACTACCCATGAACCTCCAAGCAAGCATCAGACGAGGACGTTTCCAGCCCCGACACTGCGCAAAGCACACAGCGTGATGCCAAGACGTTTTCAGAAGCAAAACTCTTAGAAGAGGCTTTTCGGATATGAAGCTTCCGAAACTGCTTTCTTGCAAACTCCGACTATTTTTTTTTGCCCCCTGGCAGTTTGGCCACACTGTCGCTACGGTGTTCTTGCATTCGGCGCTTGCAGACCCGCGCGAAAGTCTTGAAACCGCACGACAACCTCTCTTCTCTTCGTCGTCATCATCATCTCGTTCATCGTCATTATACTTGCTGGTGGCAGGGCGACAGCTGCAACAACGGTGGTCAACCTGCAAAAGAACAGCACGAACCGAATGCGTGGTGCACATCAAGCGTGGTGCGCATCACGGTTTTTCTACCCTACAAACCATCCTGGCAATCACTACAAAGAGCAACAAGAAATGCATGACCATGTTGATGAGCCGCACAAGAAGACAATCACTCCAATGAGAAGAACACAGTCTCCAGGGTGCAGCTCACTGCGAGTGTCGTCTTCCGGTTGAGGGTTCAGCCAGAAGCGGCTCGCCGAGAGCTGATGAGGAATCAGGAGGAATGATGAGGAGCATGCAGTGTGATGGCTGGCTTCATTGGGGGCTGTGCAAGTCCGAATTGTAAATGTTTGTACAGTTGTTTTGTCCCAACTTCTCAGCAGAACGTTTGCAGTCAGATTGTTGGTTTTAGGAAGTCTTCAGTCTGTTTGCAAAGCTGCATGTCCTTGTTTTGTTGAAGGCCTCGCGGCCCAACAAGTTGTGGTAGAGGTAAGTTCTTGTCCAGTTCAGTGGGCTCGAAGGATGAAGGAGGTTCAGCGTTCGCGCTATGCCTCCTGATATTCAGGCCTGCGATTTCGTGCCCTTGCATTGCGAGACTCTTGATGATGGCACAGCAGAGAGAGAGAGAGAGAGAGAGAGAGAGAGAGAGAGAGAGAGAAAGACAGAGAGAGAGAGGAGCATGCAGGCATGCAGTACCATATGGGAGCAATCTTGTCGTAGAATTTCCATGGCTATGTTAAGTTCGATGTACCGGGGAAGCTCACCGTTCGAAGGTGTCATCACCTTGCTGCAGCTTTGCGATGGTCTCGTCGACCCAGGTGCAGACGGTGATAAGCTTACCTTTGGTTAGTAGGGAATGGAGGAATGGGGTACCATTATCACTCCTATTACTAGCATTCTTCCATTCCCTACTAACCAAAGGTAAGTAAGGAGTTTCATGCGGATTTCCGAGGTCTGACCGAAGTCTTTGCAGTTCGAATTTCCGTGGGGGCAGATAGGTTAAGATAACCCAGTGCGAGCATTGAACCAACAGAAACCAACAGACGAGGACCAGTGCTCACGCACAGGGTCTCCCGCCAAAGCAGAGCAGTAGCAGCAAGAAGTAGTAAGGTTTCATCCCGGTACAACCTAATCGAGGGCGGCAACAAAGGTTTCTATTGCCTTGGCGATTCTTGTGCTCTGAGCGACTGCCTTTTCCTCTGAGCCTGATCATTGGCAGCCCGTTCCTTATGATGGGCCCCAAGACCCTATTCTAATTATTAAGCCCCCTGTAGTATGTAAACCTACTCCGGGTTGCAGGCCCCAACGAGAAGAACTTGATTGGCATGATGCTGGATCGTGAAACCAAGCGCGAGAAGAGCTTAGACCAGATCAAGAAACAGGGAGGCGTCGCGAAGAAGGAGACTTGGAGCGAGGCCACTAACATAGGGGCCTTAATAATTAGAATAGGGCTTTGGGACCCACTGTACTATAGTTACAGTAAGGAACCCCCTACCATAGTACAGGTAACTATCTAGGTCCCTATATTGATCTCCGAGCTCTGAGAATTAGGGGTTCGGGTTTGCAATCTGTAAGCCACTTACTTTGAGTTTGAACTCTTCATCCCACACCCTATGTCCCTGAACCCCTGATACTGCACTTGCAACACAGCAGTAGTAGTAGTAGCAGTAGTAGTAGCAGTAGTAACAGTAGTTAGTGACAGTGGCAGAGTAGCAGCAGTAAGTACTACTACTCACTACTCCTCCTGCTGCTGCTGCAAAAACTACTGCTACTACTACTACTACTACTACTACTACTACTACTACTACTACTACTAGTACTACTAGTACTACTACTAGTACTACTACTTCTACTTCTACTGCTACTTTTATTTCTACTTCTTCTTGTTCTTCTTCAATTTGTTAAAAGTTGGAAGCGCTGCTTGGGGATTTGTGTTGTGCCTCAAATTCGCAGGTGGTGGTACGCGGGGAGGGCCTTGGAGCTTGGGGGTGAGGGTTTAGGGTGTAAAAAACTATCAAGATGTTGATGATATGAAAGCACGGGACGAACTTTCTCAAGCCCACCGCTTTGCTGACTCAATCTTCATGTGCCCGCTTCATCTTTCTAAATTCCCGGTGCTTTCTCCTAATCGGCCTTGGTATTGTTCTTTTGCCGTAGTGATAGCTGCTAGCTGTTTGGCGGTAGTGGCCCAGGACGACAAGGACGGAGCCGGAGGCATGACCATCGACAAGACGAAATACCAGGAACGGGAGAAGGCATTCTTCACCGAGCTTAACATGACCGGCGAAGACCTAGGAACCACGCTTCCAGCACGCTAAGACCTGTAGTCAGAGCTTGTCGGCACGTGTCCAACGGGCAAGCCTCTTATGCCCGTTTTTCCCTGCCGCAGCAGATGCTCCGGATGCGAGGGTGTGTATAGCTCCTTTCGCCCTGTCGCCCTGCGTGCACCGTGGCGCAGCGTCTCACTTCTAGTGCTTTAGATTTCGAATTCCACACTGAAGGCACGTCCCTACAAATGCTACTTGCCCCCAAAACCCCTGAGCCTTAAACCGGTGTGAACCTCGCCTGGCTTGTCCGAGATGTGAGAGCGTAAATGAGCTCTAGAATTCCTTCTTACCCGGAGGCTCCATAGTAGCTCCTTTTTGGGATTACCGTATAGGATTCTGAACCCCCAAAAGGAACTACTATGGAGCCTTAGGGTAGACCCTCAAACCCCCAGGTTTCACGCCCAGGGAAGGCCTGGTTCATAGTACTTCGACGCGCGGAGAGGTAGCTTTCCACCCGAAAAGACTGGAACGCCGAGATCTAGTGCAATCAGGGCTCGCTTTTTGGGGGACCTGGCTTTCAGTTTGAAAGGTCTTGCGGTCTTACCATGTATCTCTTTCCTGGCTGAACCTTACTGTAGGAGCCAGAGTAGTTCCATCCTGATTGAAAGGGACCCGCCCAAAACTCCCATGAGCTCCCCCTTGACACTAAATGCTAGATTTTCCAGCCAAAGCCCTCAACATTCATGCCCTCAAAAAAAAAACTTGAAACCGTAAACCGCACTGGCTGAGGGTTCGGCCGGTTGAGGGTTCAGGAGGTTTGAAGGGCTTAAAAGGTTTCAGAAGCGCTTTAATTGTTTGGGGAATAAAGGCGCCTATGCCGCGTCCCGAGATATAGACGATGAACTATGACTTCATTGGAATCAGGGTTGAGCAGTTTTTGACATGGAAACCAGTTGCTTTGACCCCCTGGCCAAGCCCTACTATAGGGCCTTGAATAATAATTACCGATACTAGCTTTGGGGCTCCATCTTGAAATTATAGTATGATGCGCTCCAAAACCCAATTCTCATCATTACGGCCGATATATTAAGCCAAACACGCTGAAGCGAGGACTGTCTTCTGCTTGCAGTTTGATCGCTCGGAAGCTTCGACCGGGAGGCAGTGTTTTCCTGCTAGTAACGTAGCCAAGCCGTACAGAAGAAACCCCCGACCCCCCGAGGCCTGATCTCAAACGCCAAGATACCACGAAACGCCAAACCCTAGAACTCAAAATTGCCGGTGCCCGAGTTGCGAGATCGCACAATCTAAAATAAGTTAAACTTTAAACCCGAAGCCCGGCAATTCGGGCCTCGTCCTTGCTAAGTAGGAGGGAAAAAAGCCCCGAATGCGTGTGTTGCAGAGGTTGCAGTGCCGGGTCTTGGCAGCTGGCGAAACGTGACCTGAACTGCGTGCTGCAGGACTGAGGGCTGGAGTCTTGATTCCCAAGCGTCACACACCAAGAGTTCGAAAGCCCCAAGCAACTTGCAGCCAGAATCCCGCGCATTGCCTCCCCAAGCTTCCAAGAGTGCTGGAACGGGATTCAAGGCTAACCGCCCTAAACCTAAAACCCTTTACTGAGAGGCTTCGCCTGGCAGGCTCCGAGTCGCGAGAGCATGAACCCCAAAAGCGTAAATCGCTCGAGCCGAGAAGCTCGAACCGGGCCCAAGTCCGAACCCAGAAGCCTTCGACAAGAGAGGCTCTGCGGAACGCAGACTGAGTCAATGTCTTGTGACATACAGCCCCCCAGACTCTAGCACCTCTTCTTTAATGTGGGCATTGCTTTGAGGCATGTCTTGCGATTTAAAACTTCGGTTCTTCAAAGGAGTTATGGGGAAGTTTGGGTTTCCTTGTGCCCACAACCCCAGACCCTTTCCAAACCCTGGGCTTAAGCCTATCAGCTCCACCTAAACCCTAAACCTTAGCTGGGTGGGATGCAAAAAAGCCCTAAAGTCGAAACCCGAAGCCTTAAAACCCTAAACCCTGAGACCCTAAACCATCCAAAGCCCTAGAACCCTAAACCCTAAAATCCCAGCCATGCGCAAGGATTACAAAGAAGCTTGACATCCCAAGCCCTAAACCCCAAGACCCAATCCCTAAACCCTAATCCCTAAACCCTAAACCCTAATCCTTAAACCCTAAACCCTAAACCCGAAGCCTTAAACCCTAACCTTAAACCCTGAGCCCGAATCCCTAAACCGTAAACCTTAATCCTCAATCCCTAATCCCAAATCCTTTATTCCCTAAACCCTAAACCCTAATCCGAAAATCCCTAATCCCTAATCCTTAATCCCTAAACCGTAAACCCCAATCCTAAAATCCCGAATCCTGAATCCCTGAACCCTAAACCCTAATCCTAAAATCCTAATCCTTAATCCCTAAACCCTAATCCTAAAATCCTTAATCCCAATAATCCCAAATCCTTGAACATGGGAGGACCTGGAGGCCGGCGACGAGGGGATTCCCGGAGTTCTTAGGGGCACTTGGAGCTTAGGTCTACCGAAACCACTACCCTGAGGGCTTAGGGGTTTAGGGTTTAGGGCTTAGGTTTATCAGTTCCTGGCATATGCGTAGTCCAGGTGCAAAAAAAGGGTTTAGGTTTAGGGTTTAGGTTTAGGGTTTAGGGTGTAGTCCTAGGTTCCTTATAAAGTTACCCAATACCAAGAAGGGAGCCCTTTTTATTCCTAGGTTACTGGGCATCCTAGTGTATATCTATATCTATACCTATGCCTTTTTGTCTACATGTCTATATCTCTAGATCTCTATGTCTCTATCTTGATCTACATCTATATATCTATATGTGCATGTATATGTATACATATATATATATATACATATATATATATATATATACATGTGTGTGTGCGCGTGCATGTTTGGGCGTAGCATTTCGGCAATCTTTCGCCTGGTAGCAACATGGGTGATCTGGCACAGTTACTCTGGTGCTACCTGGAATTTGGGAGTTTGCCGTTTCATGCCTCACGGCTGTCCAAAGTTCTTTTTTTTGCATGGCATCAGCCATTCCTTTGAATTAAGATGCTCCCAACTCCTTCCCCGGCTTGAGATGTTGATTCGGATCTGGGACGGGACTCTTGAAGCCTTATGGCTTCTATGCCCTGTAAGCCCTCAACTGCCATGGTCTTCTGGATATTGGGCAGCGACTATTCAACCCTTCAAACGACACGGGGCGCGATCCTCTAGCAGGTTGGGGGTTTGGGATTTAGAGTGGATGAAGGTCTCTCAGGAAGCAGTTCTGTAAGGGGACGGGGGTTTAGGGTTGTAAGGGGTTTGGGTTTTTTTTGGGATCAGTGCTGTAACTTAAGAGGCCCGATGTTGTCTAGCTTTGCACAGCACGCTGGTGCTTCTTCTTTTCTTTGTCTGCAAAGCCGAACCCAAATCCCAATCGGGCTGATCCTGAAATTATGGTTTCCACTATGACCGTCAGCCGAAACATGAGTGACACGACCCATTTACTACAGGGTCCAGGCACTTCCAATCTTCATCAACGTGCTATTTGGGTAGAGTTTCGGGTTTGGGCAAAGCCCTCGTTCTCGAAGCTTCCATTGCTCTGTGGGCCTACGTGATGTTGACGCTTTCAAGCCCAAGCAGCACTTGTACACTGGGCCCTAAACCCTAAACCCTAAACCCTAAATCCTAAATCCTAAACCCTAAACCCTAAACCCTAAATCCTAAACCCTAAACCCTAAACCCAGAAGCTACGAAGCAGCACTTGTACACTGGGCCTCGGTTCTTGAGTTTGTAGAGGCTTCGGGGTTCTGGGATGTGCTCAGGTCTCGGTTTAGGGTTTAGGGTTTAGGATTTAGGGTTTAGGGTTTAGGGTTTAGGATTTAGGGTTTAGGGTTTAGGGTTTAGGGTTTAGGGTTTAGGATTTAGGGTTTAGGGTTTAGGATTTAGGGTTTAGGGTTTAGGGTTTAGGGTTTAGGTGTAAGGAGCCCAGTCCATCAGCTATTTGTCACCAGGTTGCTGTCTCAAAGGCGTGAGCCTCTTTGCTCGAGTAGCCAGCGGATGCGGGCAAGCATGTGGTGTGGTGCAGAACGAAGCATAGAAGCACAAGACAAGTCTGGAAGAGGAGAGTAATTATACAAAGAGTGAGGATGTGCAGTCAGGACCAATCATGGAAAACCCCGAGCGCGGCTCAAAGTATCTGGACCTGCAGAGTAGTCTCCGTGCACATTGGCATACTTTTGTTTCTAGAGGGGTGCTATGGCCCGATCCCTCCCCGAACCTTCAACCTCTTAACTGAGGATCTTGGTTAAGCTTCAGGGTCTAAGTTTTCTGGGGTTTATCGGGCGCCATGGGTGGAGCGAGCGGACTTGTTTCGCTCCTGCTCCTCCAGCTGCTGCTTGCTGGTCAAAGTGGTGTGTATGATACTGGATGAGACTTGGCGAAGCCCTAAACCCTAAACCCTTAAACCCTAAACCCCTAACCCCTAAACCCGAGCGCCGAAACCCTAAACCCCAATCCTAATCTGGCCGAACAGAACGAGACGGGATGGCTCAGTGAGCAGACTGTGAACCTTTGCGGCGGGTCCCGGGTTGCCGGCATATAGACTCTAAGAATGGGCATGAGGCTCATTTGAGATCCGTTGTTCTGAGTAATTGATCAAAGTACAAACTTCCGTCTTCCTGTAGAGGAGAGACGATGGCAGCGAATAGGGCATCATCGAGCACATGTACATAGTCCTTGCGCCCCAGCCCCGGCTGAGGCCACATACGCCGCCCACAGGATTGCCCAGTGCAGGTAGACGGGGGGGCAAGACCCGACGCTGAACTTCTCGTGGCGTTATATTGCTGGTTTTAAGGGCCGGTGTGAAGCTCCAAAAGCCTTCGTAGCCGTGGCAGACGTACCTTACTTGGTGGTGGAGTTTACGTTTCAGGAACTCTGATAAAGGAGCAGTTTCCACAAATCCGGGTTCAAGATGTCCTCATTCAATAGGCTGGTTATCTCTCGGGCTAGACAAGTTGATTCTTCAGCTGGCATGTTGCAGGCATGACACACGGAGTTTCCATACGTTGCACTCCAAATTTCAGGGTCCCACTCCTCTACAGTCCTTTGCAAGACATGGGGTAAACATGTCTGACTGTGTTGGGCGACATTGTATGAATCCTGATAGTTGAACCTCTCCAAGCACATAATACCATTCCTAAATCATCCTTGTTGGAGACGAAGGTGAGGCAGGAAGAAACTTATTCGATCTTCTTGCACGCTATATGATTCCTTGAGCCGCCTGATGCCTCGCAGGCAGCCATCGATGCCATGGCGCAAGGGCTGCGTTTCGATGGCCATGGAGCCATCTCCGCGCGAGGCGGGATGTCGGAGTGTAAGGGTCCCTAAACCTTGAATCCTAAGGCCGTTGCTTGGATTGTGTTTACTGGGAAGGGCAGGAGGCTCTTCGACAAGATGGGGCAACCGGGCTTTCAAGGATGTTGTGTTCGCTATAGATGAAAACCCTAGATGAACCGTGAAGCCGTTGGTGCCTTTTGTATGATGCCGCAGTCCAAGCAATGTGCCTTCGGTGGCAGAGGCGGTCAATGAAATTAATGACGCATCCTCCCCACACGACGGACCTAAGTCACCCGTCAGCACTGCCAGAGAGCAGATCTGCAGAACAACGGGCTTCAGAGGTACGGAAAGGCTTAACAGCCTGTACTCCAGCCAGGATCTTCCAGCACGTCAACTACTATAGGGGGCCTAAATAATTACCAATACTATTTTGGGGCTCCTTATTATAACTATAGTATAATGGACCCCAACACCCTATTATGATCATTAAGGCCCCCCGCACTACACTGCTATGAACACCGTACCCAGTGTCCCGGAAATGTCTGAACCTTCAAGCATCTTGGTCCGATAGTGCCCAGCTGGTACTTTCAATCCAGCCTGAGTGAGGTAAGGAGTTGGCTGCTGCTAAACCGTGCTTCTTCTGGGACAGCATGACGTCTTCTTGTTCGATGTACGAAAACTGTACCAGTACCGCACACAGACAGACACACAGAGAGACGGAGACAGCGACAGAGACGGAGACAGAGAGAGAGAGAGAGAGATGTACATATGCCTATGCAAGCGTTCAAGCTGTGCAGGCATTTCGACATTCTTGAATGCTGATACCAAGAGTTCTACTCGGTATCGCAGGATGACTCTTCCATCCTATCATAAGTTACCCGATTCTCCAGTATTTATCCCGCATGATGGCAGTCAGCTTCTTCCTGCAGGAACTTCACGACTTCTGTACGACTACCCAGAGACGGTGCGATCCGCACCTGAGACAAAATAGAAGTTCTCAGAAAGAGCAGGGTTTAGGGCAGGGTATGGGACCTCGTCGTGCAACGCCGGGTGTGCCTCGTTTTACCTTCCTTCATCTCGGACGAAGTGGTGACGTAAGCCGAACCCCTTATACTTCATTCGACCTACCCCCATCCCCAAACCCTAAACCCGAACCCCTTATACTTCATTGCAGACCTACCCCCCATCTCTAAACCCTAAACCCTGCTCTTGCTTTTCTTGCAGTCGCAGGGCTGACTGGCATGGCAAGGTCGAAGGCCTGCCTCGCGTATTTTCGAACTTACACACGATCCGGGGGGACTCCTTTTCCGTTACCCTTTTCAGCTCCAAGTGTACCAAGATTGTCGGTATCTACTTTGGGGACGTAGCCGTAGTTATAGTAGAGTCTACAAGTAGTCTTGTTTCAGCCTGTTTGGAGGTGCCGGAACCCTCCTGAGAGCGATTCAATCGGGTCGCTAAGGGCGCACGGCATTTCCAACTTCAAGGCGAGGGTTGTCAGCATAGAAGTCGCCATGCCTCCGTAGCGACGCTCTTCCCTTTCAACCACCAAATGCTTGTGGTAGAACTTCCGTTGTTTCGCGCTGACCATCTGAGGAGATCTTGGACCTGCTGCAGCTTAGCTGCGCTCTCTTGCGTGTGGGTCGGAGATATTGCCTGCTTTGAGACCAGCCAAACTGAGAAGCTGAAGCCCAAACCCTGAACCATAACCTCAAACCTCACTCCTCCCCAACTCCTGTGTTTACTCGCTCTGGTCCGGCCCGTTCCTGAATGCCGTCAGACTATAGACATCCGAAGCTTTGAGCTGCCTGCAGAGGAATGCAGACGTACTGCAAACGGGGTCAGTGGCTGTCAGAGATCAAGTTACCATAGAATCTCTGAACGTCTCCCGGTCCCGCAACTTGTGGTCCCTGAAGCAAGGTTCTTGCCGGGGCATGCGGCATCCATCCAGGCGGTTGTTCTGAACCGTTCAGAAACATTGCTCTGTTCTTGCTCACGGTTGGTGAACTTCCTGTGATCGTTCGGGCTCCTATAAGATCCTCAGCCCATGTCTGAGTGCCCGTGCCCCTTAGCACGCTCGATTCACTTCACTTCACTTCAGCGCATCCTTCTTGAGGGGTCCACGAAGCATCGCCAGCGAACTCTGAAATCTAAGCATGCTTAAATCCAAATCCCCAGGAATCCAAAGCTCTGTGCTCAACCGCCCAAGTTCCCGAGCTCGACATGTCTACCGAAATCTGATTCCCAAAGCTTAAACCCTGAACCCCAAACCATAAACCACCTTGCCAGGCTTAGTCCGAGTGTGAGTTTAAAACAAACCCCTAAACCCCTAACCCCCATACCCTGAACCCTGAGCCCTGAAGCCAGAAGTATCTGCAGATGCGCGTTTCTCCCAGGGGCATCCCTAGGGCTCACCGGAGCAAGGAAGGGACTACCTGAACAGGGTTTGCAGTCGAAGCTATGCATAACCCAATATAGGGGCCCTCAATAATTACCAACTAATACCTTATTTGAGGGTCCTTGATATATGTATAGTATTATATACCCGAAAACCTTGTTCCAGTTCTTAATGCCCCCATATTACTTGCCTTGGCCACTCTGCAGCCCCACCGCCTTGCCCAGCAGCACTCGAAGGTGCTGAAGGTGGAGATGGGTGGAGATGCTCAGTCTGGGTGGCTGGAAAGCAAAGCAGCGATGAAAAACATCCAGGGGCTTCGTACAGGGTCCAGAGTCTAGATTTTTTTCAAATGCTGCGAAAATACCGCATGGAGGGCCTGGTCGTTGTTTGTTCATGAACATCAACGTCAGAGATGACATGCTCAGCCGATGCCTCAAAAGCTAGTGCACTGGTTCTTCAAAGTTGTTAATTACAGCCGGAGACACAGGTGGACATAGTTTTAACCTCACCACGAACCCAGCTGATGATTAAACAATTCATCGATAAGCGCCAAAGCTGCAAAACACTTCTGGGTTTAGCCGCCACAGTCCCCAACCAAATCAACAATAGAGTTCTTTAAGATGCTGAACGACAAGACTCTTGCCTGAACAACGAGAGCGGCACCTGTTGACCACGCAAGACCACTCATTGCCTTGACCCTCGTCACCACCATGCTTGGCAGACTATCGTCCACGGCTCTAGTATCATAGTTGTGCACCGCCTTGATCATAGCCTTTTTCAGCGTCACCAGCGGTCAGCAACATGACTTCCATCGTCAGTGCCTTCAGGGCATAAGGACGAACGCAGTCGAAATTAGGCCTAGTTTTAAGTCAAATCTCTGAGGCATGCATCCGGTCGAGAAAACCCTGCGTACTATTTTCGGGTGATGCACCCGAAGATGTGTCTTTAATCTGAGAAGGCTACAGTAGACTTGCGGCCTGCAAGGGGTACCCTCACCGGGCCCCTTTCCGGGCTGAAGGATGAGAATCTATGTCTACCTCGCTCGCTCGCTCGCTCGCTCGCTCTCTCTCTCTCTCTCTCTCCCTCTCTCTCGTATTCTCTAGCGGGAAAACCATGTGCGGATCTAATCAGTGTTGTGAGCCCATTCTGCCAACGATTCATGTTAAGCTGGGGAAAAAGATATGAAGTTTTCTCAAATCCAGTGGTGCTTCCCGAATGCAGGCTTATCCTAGAGTTCTGCATTGTCTGCAAACGCCATGTAGAGAGTTTCATGGACACTCGCAGCATCCAGCCCCAGCGACGCTGCATCGTGCTTCAGGTTTGGAACCGAACCGAGCCACCGGCGATCTCACAATGATACGGTTCCCTGTCGCGTTTTGCATGCTGTGCTGCTGCTGTCCTAGAGACTGGTTTGTGATAATTAAAAGGTTCTGGGTGACAGTGTCCGACTCATCAGTGAGTACCCTTTTGCCCTTATTCAACCAGCCAAAAGTTCTAGTGAAACTCTGAGAACGAAGACCTCCACCGACTAAGAAGTTGGTTGTGTTGGAGCGTTCACCATTCAGAGCTTTCTCCGCACGGGTTCGTCAGGAAACCTGGTCAAGATCTTTCGAACGTTTCGTTGCTTAAGGCCTAGTAAGCAGTGCCAAGGTCACTAGCAATTGCCGTGACCACTCTGGTTAAAGATGCCCAGCAAGTCTCTAAAATCTCAAGCTGTGGCTCGATCACTGTCGTCTTGCAGTACGATTATGGTTCCGCAATTCTGAGGTTCGGGGCTTAGCACCTCTAGAATTCGGTGTCCTTAGACAGCATGAAATGAGGACCGTAGAAACTGCAGCCTTACGAGGGATCAGACAAAAGCTGGAAGGGCAGGCATGTGCATGTTTTGGCATCAAAACCTATTCGATTAAGGCCAGGCCATGGCTTCGCAGCGTTTTTTTTGCTAAGGTTCCTCGAAAGCTGAATGTCCTGCGCAGCGGTTTACGTCCAGCAAGGGCGCACTAAATTCAGAATTTTTATGAATTTTTAGTCTGACTGGCCTTCATAGCCAGCAGCGCAGACTGTACGAAGCATGTGTGTGAACCCTGCCGCGGCCTGCCTCTCTGTCAGTCTGTTTGCCTGTATGTCTGTCTGTCCGTGTTTCTCTTTCTATCGCTCTCTCTCTCGCTCTCTCTCTCTCTCTCTCTCTCTGTCTTTCTTTCTTTCTCTCTCTCTCTCTCTGTCTTTCTCTCTCTCTCTCTCTGTCTTTCTCTCTCTCTCTCTCTGTCTTTCTCTCTCTCTCTCTCTCTCTGTCTCTCTCTCTCTCTCTCTCTCTCTCTCTCTCTCTCTGTTTTTTAGATGTCTTCGTATGTGTATGTGCCTGGTTTAGATACATCACGCGTACATATTTGACGGGAAGATTAGTTTCATATTCACACAGAATAATGAACAGATGCAGGCTTGAGGCCGGATGAGCATGCGGGCCTGCATGTGTGTGTGTGTGTGTGTGCGTGTGTGTGTTTGTGTGTTTGTGTGTTTTTCGAAATGGATGTGTCTAGTCTAGGGGTATCTGGTCAAGGTCTACTTACCTAGGAGTGCGCTCGTGACGCTTCAGAGAAGGTGAAACGGTAGCTGTGCAATCCACTGGGTACCTGTCACGTGTCCGAACCCAAGCGTATATGTGAACTGTATCCATTGTCGGCATGGCTATGACCAGTGAGCCATGGCTTTATTCCCCAAAACCTGCTCTATATGCTTGTGAGGCTTATTGACATAAACCAAGCGCTGCACGGGGGAATCGTTAGTCTAGACACCATGTAGCTTGCCGTTTTTGTGGCCTTGTGCCATCGCCCAAGGTGAATCCCCTTTTCAATATTGTCTGCCTCAGGTCAGTTTTCGGCTTCATGCAGGGAAGCATAGCTGCCATTCTTGCCATGTGGGCAGCTTCCGCCCTCAGTGAAACCCAGGTTTTCCTGACCTTCGGTGTCCTCGCTTTGGCATGTCACTTACCTTTGGTTAGTAGGGAATGGGAAAGTGGTAGTGATAGCAGTAATTGTACCCCATTCCTCCATTCCCTACTACCCTAAACCCTAAACCCTACTACCCCAAGCCCTACAACCCTAAACCCTAAACCCCTAAACCCCACTACCAACCAAAAGTAAGGTCACTGGCACGCACAGGGGGGGGACTTCATGGCCGGTCTGGCCTTGTTGTGGGCTCCAAAAGGAGAAGCCCTGCAAGGCCCATGCCAAGCCAGCAGGATCGAGGAGGAGCTCGGGCAGGTACGGCTAGAGATGTTCTTCTCCTTCTGCCGAATCTTGGTTCAATGTGTTGTTGTATCTTGTCGTCCTTTGTTTAGTTGCAGGATTGCGGGTTCTTTGGTCTGGATTCGATGTGGTTGCGTCGAGGAATTATGGTGCACGTCCTAATCTTGGCCGTGCCCGTGTCTATGGCAGAATGCTGGCGCAATCCTGGCTTTTTTTCTGGAAGTTGGGTCGTCGCGACGACTCTCCTCTACACAATCTACAACGTGGTCCGCTTTGGTAAATTTCAGTTGACAGTTGCACATCTCAACTTTTTCTGCATCCTTCTGAATGGGATCATAGCTGGAGCAGTTGCCTCAAGCGGTTTTGCAAACCCCGAAGACCACATGGGCTGTTTCGGAATGGGTGTCGCCAGTCAGCTTCTATTGGGCCTTCTGTTCCCTCCTAGCTGGACCATGTTGGTTGCCTCGGTGAGCTATTTCGTGGCATTCGTGTTCAGCACAGCGATGGCCCATGGACCTTTAGCACTGAACCGTTGGTTCTTGCTGCAGCAGATTTGCCAGTTCGGCGTGAGCATCGCCATCCCCAACTTTGTAAACTGGACACTCAAAGCTCGAATCTCCGCTGCCTTCAAGTCCAAGGATGCCGATGCCCTGAGTTTCGGGTTTCGACAGGTGCTCAGGGGCATCTGCGACGGAGATCTTCTGCTCAACAGCAACTTTCAGATTTGTGGGAATGCAACATGCCTCCAACGCTTGCTAGGGAGCAACGAAGCCTTTGCTGGGCGCTTGTTTCATGACCTCATCGATGGTGCGGATGCGCGCAAGAAGTTCCACAAGTTCGTGGCGTCGGCAGATCTCTCAACAGGAGAAGCCTGCTACGACGGTGGTGAGGCTACAGCCCATTGCCTCAGAGTGCCGCTGAAGGCACCCTCTGGCAGGATCGTGAAAGTAGATGTTTTCCACGTTTCTCTACCCGGACTTTATGGTGAAGAGTCGCATCATCTGCTTTCTATGAAAGAGGACCCGGACTCGATAGTGCCCCTCGAGGCAACACCGAGCGGCACAAGTGCCGATCGCTTGCTGAAGTCTCTCATAGGACTGGGCTTGGGAGTACCATACTTTAATGCTTGTTTGGTACCTGTTACTTAAAGGGAACCATGAGGAACTAAAAGTCTATACTGAACTTTTTCTCCTTGGCTACTTCAAAGCTCATAGGACCTCCGTCCTCAAACACTTCCTCTGCAACCAGCAGTGAGAACGGCGTGGAGAGCTATGAGGAGCTCGCAGAAATGACTCTGCTTTTGAATGCAAGCACGGAGTTGGTGGACATCGAGGAGGCACACTTGCGATTCGTGCGGCAGAAGCACGAGGACGACATCAGGATGGGCAGCTTGGTCCCGTAAGCTCCATTTATCTCTCTTCTTTAATCTACTTGGAGGTTGATGGGTAGTTGTAGGTGGGATTATACGTCCCCTAAGATGGGTTATAAGTATAGTTACCCTACTTATAACCCTACTTATAACTACCCTAAACCCTAATCCCTAAACCCTATGACCCTATAGATCCCTTTAAAGGAACCCTACTTATAACTACCCATGAACCTCCAAGATGCCTCGACTCCCGCCGTGCGTCTTTAATTCAGGCAGGACTGCAGTAGACTTGCGGCCTCTAAGGGGTACCCTCACCATTTCGCATGTGAGGGGCTGAAGGATGGGAATCTACATCTTGTTGCTTAACCTCTATCGAAGCTTGCTCTCCCCTCCCTCCCTCCCTCCTTCCCTCCCTCCCTCTATCTCTCCTTGTCTCTCTATCTCTGCCTCTCTGTCTCCGCCCTCTCTGTCCCTCCCCTGCGTGCATCTACTCGCAGGCCACACTCTTTTGTTCTAGCGTGTTGCTTCCGCTTAAGGCTGTCGTGCGCCAGGTGCAAAGTTCTCAAGCCTCTCAAACGGGTTCTGACCCCGCGGTCCCGGCGAACCCCACGCGCTTAAACCACTGGTCCTAAACCCGAACTCCAGTCCTCGGCCCTGAAAGTCTGTACCTGACAAGGCATGCCCGCGCTGAAGCGCTTCGCTCGCCCCCTGGACCCGGGTGACAGTGGAGTTGCAAGAAGTTTAGTTGAGGCATTTAGGTTAAAGCTTCATGCAGCATAGAGTTTGGAAGGGGCAGGTAAAGAAATGACTGAATACTCCCTCCAGCAACTGTGCGCTTTAGCACACTGTTTCAGCATGTCTTCTGTGATTCGGGCCACATGCAGGCCTAGTACTGTAAAGCAGGCCATTGGCTAGCTCTCTGTCGGGCTTTTGTGTGCTCAAGCCTGCAATCAGCAGAGTCCAGTGTCACAAAGCGATGTGGGTTGTTCTGTATTTACTATTCTTCGAGCGAGATGGGCACATGGGATCCCACGCACACCCCTGGGATCCCATTGGTGTGCCTGTATGAAAAATCACCGAGCTCTCAGCGATGCTCCAGGACTGGCACTCTATGCACCCATGGCTCCGGAACTACGCGGCCAGTGCTGCGCAGAAGGTGGACACCCAGGAACCAGCGGAAGGGTCGTGGATTCCGTGGCTGAAAAGAGGCTTAATGGGCAGGAGAGCTAGAATGTAATGGTGGGTCTTCATAAGACAGGATTAAGTGGATGGATTGTAAGTAGTGCCAAGTTAGGGTTTTCAAGCGTTTGCGGTTCAGCGTCACAGCTTGGGGCTTTGAGAGGGTGTAGCTGCAGCTCTATAGCTGTTTCATGGGTAAGAAGTGGGATAATTGGTAAACTCTGTTCGCTGAAAACTTCTTGTGCATCTCATCATGCGATGTTTAAACCCTTTCGGATGCTGGCATCACTGCAGACTAGACATGTTGCCATTGAACTAGGAGGAATTCGCGAAGATCGGATACTTGGGTTGCTGGTAGGCTTGGGTAAAGATTCGCAGTGCTCCACACCGAGTAAGCGTGCAGCATGATTCCGGTATTGATGGCCAAAGATATCTGAAAGTAGCCGTTAGCACAGAACCATGTGCTTGCCACAAAACTGCACCTTGACGAGGTGCACCCCAAACCCGTGATGCCATGTCCGGGCAAGAAGCCTCAACCATGCAGATCCGATTCAATCAACACTGTGAG